GCATCCAGGACCTTGTTATAGTAGTCCAGTAGTTGGGACAGACAGGAGCGACCTACTCTAAACCCATGTTGCCCTGGGTTGCGTAACTGATGAATATCTAGATGAGGGGCGATCTTGCTTCTTAGGACCCTTTCAAAGATTTTTATGATATGGGATGTTAGCGCTATCAGTCTGTAGTTCTTTGCTATTGCTTTACTGCCCCCTTCGTGGAGTGGGGCTATGTCTGTTGTTTTTATCAGCTGTGGGACGACCCCTGTGTCCATGCTCCCTCTCCATAGGATGCTAAAAGCACATGATAGGGGTTTCTTGCAGTTCATGGTGTTTCATGAGTCTGGGCCTGGGGCAGCGTGCATGGGCATGTCACTTATCGCCTTTTCGAAGTCATTTGGCGTCAGGATAATATCAGACAGGTTTGAGTCTACCAAATTCTGCGTCTCGCTCATAATAAATTCATTTAGATCTACGACTCTCAGTCTGGTTAGCGGCTCACTAAAAACCGACTCATATTGGGAGTTGAGTAGCTCATTTATTTCCTTGCTGTCATCTGTGTAGGACCCATCTCGTCTAAGTAGGGGTCCAATACCGAATGTTGTTCTCGACTTAGATTTGGCATAAGAAAAGAAATATTTTGGGCTTTTTTCAATTTCATTTATGGCTTTTAGTTCTTTCCGCGTTTCTTGACTCTTGAAAGATTCCTTTAGTTTAAGTTCGATGTTTGCTATGTCTCTGACCAGTGTCTCCCTACGTATTACAAATATATAGGATTCTTTTAGCCAATATATTTGTAATAGTCCTGGTGGATCAGGCTCTGATCCACCAGGAGGCCTGGTCACAGACCGGGCCGCGGGGGCGTTGACCCCCGAAACTCTCTCCAGGTAAACTCCAGGTAAACAGCATCTGCACCGGGGGTGATAGCACCATCTGGCCCAGTCCTTTTATTTTCCCATCTGTTATAGAATACTGTTAGTGTTTCTATAAAGGCTGTTTTGATGTTTCCGTCTTTTAATACCAATGAGAATTTTTTCCAGTTGGTTCTCATTTGGTCATACCCAAAAACACTTCCCTGGTTTAATATCTCTTGTAGATGATTCCTGAATATCAAGTTACGTTTCACTCTGTGTAGAGCTTATAAAGTAAGTCATGTTTTGCTCCTTGTAGAGCTCTTTCTAGTCATGTTTAACACTGTGTAGAGCTTTATGGAGCCATTGTTAGTCCTGTATAAAACTTACAGAGTTATGCCTGGCTCTGTGCAGAGCTGTATCAGGTCATGACTTGATATTGCATTGAAATCATTGATCATAGCATGTATAACATTAACCAGAGAGTACCTGCACATACCAACATTTGCATGAACTTTTCCCTAGTTCAATACACCAGTGTTGAATATTTGAAGCCAATCTGGTGAGGCGTTCTCCAGTTATTGACGAACAATAATAATAATAATAATAATAATAATAATAATAATAATAATAATAATAATAATAATAATAATCTTTATTTCTACTAGTACATGTACAAGGTATACAGGCCTAGCTGATATCAATGACAGACTACTATATATAGAAAGCCGCTTGTTACACAGAGCATTTCGGGCAAATTAGGTCAATTTTGTCCCCAGGATGCGACCCACACCAGTCGACTAACACCCTCCCGTACCGGGGATGGAGCTGTGTCAGTTGAGTACGCTTGCAATCGAGCTACGGGTATTTAGGTATTTCCGAAGGGGTGCCTTCGGAAATACCTAATAATACATGTACATCTGTGTCTAATTTCATACTCAATCACATGACATTCAGGTTTCAGGCTATTTAGAACAAGTAATTGGGATAGGGCGTCGAAAATAATTAGGTCACATAGTCAATAGGTCTATCATTAACCTTTAATTTTGGTGGTCCACTCTTATGATTACCAGTTTTGTCTATTTGAAACTAGTTTTCTGTACAGAAATTATAGCCAAGGTTATCACAGGCTGCCTGGTCATGATTCACAATAATTTGAATTTCACGAAAAGTTTTAGTATGTATAAGAATGTCATCAGCATAGCTAATTGTGACGTTCCTGGCAGTGTCTGGTAGTGATTATAGTAGGGCAATTAATATATTAAACCTTGTAGAGCTTAATACGCCGCCTTGAAAAGTGCCAAGTTGCATTTCTTTATTTATACTTTTGTAGCCGTGAAATAATGCAGCAGATTTTCAGATTAAATAACCTAGTGTAACAGTAAGCCACCATTGTCTGCCTGGAGAGGGTTTCGGGGGTCAACGCCCCCGCGGCCCGGTCTGAGACCAGGCCTCATGGTGGATCAAGGCTTGATCAACCAGGCTGTTACTGCTGGCTGCACGCAAGCTGACGTACGAACCACAGCCCGGCTGGTCAGGACTGACTTTAGGTGCCTGTCCAGTGCCTGCTTGAAGACAGCCAGGGGTCTATTGGTAATCCCCTTATGTATGATGGGAGGCAATTTCTCCATTCTAGTTTATACATTTTAAAACAACTCCTTCATTTGGGGAAGCCAGGTATAGATACTCAAAAATTAGGGAAAAAGGAATTAATGTACAATTGCTATGGATCCCATCACACATTGGATTACTCCTTCATGATAAAGTTGATATGTTAGCCAAGAAGAGTATCGAGAAGGAGAATGTAGAATATAACTTTGGTATAACTGTGTCTAGCATTAGGAATAATATTAGGAGAGAAGTAAATAATGAAAATGATTGTTATAGGAATGCAGTTAGAAGCCTGAGTAGATCTATAACCCACTATGATAACATGAACGTAGATAAGTATGTTTATGGAGCAACTTGCAATGTGAACAGACTGACTGATGTTGTAGTGGCCAGGCTTAGGCTTGGTTATAAGTACTTCTGGCAGTTTGGGAGACACACAGATGATGATCAAACTAAATGTAAATTATGTGATCAGGCATATGGTCATTCTCTTGAACACTATGTGCTTAATTGTCCACTTATTGAGGAATACAGAGACAGACAGTATAATAACCTATGTGACATGTCAAGATATCTTAATAATGAAAATAAGATACCAGATATACTAAGCAAATTTCCTAAATTTGCTTGTAACAGATAAGTGAACTATAGATATGTAGATATAAATCCATATGTATTCCTGTTAACCCTTTGGGGCCTAGTTCCTAGGCCTTTTGTGTATCCATATGCTCTCGCGCTACCGTCCACAGGATGGATATGGGGTGCACAATAAACTAGCCACTTCGGTGGCAAAATCTAAATCTTCATTTGGAATATAAAAAACTTATTTAACATGAAAAAGTGTTGTATTTGTGAGTTTTGTCCTCGTATAAAGTTTGGTTGACATGTTATTATGTCTGGTAACTTGTTAAGTAACATCCTCTCAAATGTTTCCACAAGCAGCTGTCAGAAAGATGAGGGACAACAACATGTTGGTTGTTGTTGCAATAATGTTATTGGTCGACGATGATGGTAACTGATTCAAAGAGTAACTCATATTGTATATTTCTAACAGTGGGTCACCAGGCACATGCCTTAATAATCTTATGATATCATAGGTGATACCCTCCTTTTCAGGGGCGGTGACCTTGCCCCTTGTAAGGTCCACATCTAGTTCACGCCTGGTATATAGGGTATCACACTCACCATGCTGTCTGCTAAACATAAAGTGGATTAGATTATTTCTGTCACTAGACTGTCTTTCTAAATTCTGCCTGATGTTAAGTGGTAACATGTTGCGGATAGAATCTGGTACTCGACTCATAATTAACTCACTTTGTGTAGTGGACTTGGGTACACATCTTTCCTACTTTCCTTTTCTATTATTATGGTAATACGCATCCATGTTTTATTCGGGGAAGTCTGTTGATTTAGTCTACTAGAAAAATCGAAATCATTTTGTCTCAGCTTAGTCATTCTTTTCTTTACAGAAACAAGAGAAGTTTGAAATCATTTAAGTATCTGAAGAGTCCTGAGTTCTTGTTACCTCACCCTGTTTGTTTACCTGGAGTTTACCTGGAGAATCAAGCTATTGATTTTTTTTTATTTATAACCTCAACATATATAACACATACTAACATCCATTATACTTCACTCCAGTTTAAAAAAGATGCAGTATACTGTACAAAATGATGTAGCCAGATGCCTACAGTCTTTCTGAGTCAGATATATGCTGGGTGGTTTGAATGGTTATTTAATGGGGTTGAAAGCCTATCGACGACACCAGGGTCATTAAAACTGCATACAATATTTTCACTACCAGTCAAGAATACTTTGATTCCTGAAACTGGGATTAAGGTAGCTTCTCAGAGACACATGACGAGCTTTCTCATAGAACAGTAGCACTAATGCCTCAAAGTTTTCTGTGGTATTTTATAGGTGAAATTGCTGACCTAGAAAATGTACAGAGAACCTTCACGACACACATAACTGCGATAAAACACCTCAACCTGTACTCCCTACAACGCAGGAGGGAGAGATACATGATTATGTACACTTGGAAAATCCTAGAGGGATTAGTTCCAAACTTGCACACGAAAATCACTCCCTATGAATCGGCAGACGATGCAACATCCACCAGTGAAAAGCAGGGACGCCACTAGCACGATAAGAGACAACACAGTAAGTGTCAGGGGCCCAAGACTGTTCAACTGCCTCCCAGCATGCATAAGGGGGATTACCAATAGACCCCTGACTGTCTTCAAGAAGGCGCTGGACAAGCACTTAAAGTTAGTACCTGGCTAATCTTGCTGTGGTTCGTACGTCAGTTTGCGTGCGGCCAGCAGTAACAGCCTGGTTGATCAGGCCCTGATCCACCATGAGGCCTGGTCACAGACGGAGCCGCGGGGGCGTTGACCCCTGAAACCCTCTCCAGGTATACGTAAGCAAACCAACCATACCCCCGGCCGGGATTGAACCCGCGGTCATAGAGTCTCAAGACTCTATGACCGCGGGTTCAATCCCGGCCGGGGGTATGGTTTGTTTGCAATCGTGTCATTACGATTTCTTGAGTCATACGTAAGCAGTCAGTGGCCTTCATCAACCCAAGAAGAAGAGGCAGGTGAATACGGCGCAAGTTGCGGTGCTCTATAAATCCCCAACAACAAACAAACTGCGCGTTTGAAAATAAGAGCAACAGAATTTACCATGACAGAAGACCCAACAAGTCTCAAAAGTGTTCTAAGTGCTTTGAGCAGCAGTGAGAAGTTGAAACACTGGCATAAACCTCCGCAGGATTATGGACCAGATAATCCTGAGGTGATATTAATGATACACTTTATTTGCAGAATTTTGTTTTTGAATAAGGCACTTTTAACATTGTTGTCTTATTGCTGAAACGTTTGGCCTGTACAACAAGCTTCTTCAGTCAAATACAAGTGAATATAACATCAGAGAAAGTAAAAGTAGGCTTGAGGGACTGACCACCTACCCAAGGCTGAGGGACTGATCACTATCTTCAGTGTTATATTCGCCTGCATTTGACTGACGGAGCCTGTTTACAGGCGAAATATTTCGGAATTTATATAGATGCCCAAGTGTTTTTTATGTTTTACCAACAAGTCAGTAGAGCCAGTGCATCATTACTTAAAATATTTTTACTCTCATCACCTTACTCTTTTTTATGTTCCCTTTTAGTTTCCTTTTACACACCCAGAGTATTCCTCCAACTTTTACAATGTCTCTTCAGACTGTCCCAAACAGTGGCAGCTCGCCCATAGGAGCTGCAGTCCTCCCAGATGCTCACTGCCAGACTTTTGACTTCTCCAACCTTATGCTAAAATAATTTGCAAATGACAAATGTATTACAGGAAAAATCTGTTGTATGTTGTTTTCAATATATAAGCGTTTTTTTTTTTTTTTTTTTTTTAATGAGATCAAAAATTATTAAAAATAGAAGTTTGATGCAGTATGATAGTATAGGTATTACTGGTGCCACGAGCTGCCACTGGTCCCAAAAAGCTGTGCTGTGGAAAGAGAGTAATTGTGACAATTTCCACTTATTATTAATCTTAAGATAGGCTTAAGTTCACACAAAATGCTCTGCATAATAAGGAGCTTTCTGCATGCACACCAAAATATCATTCACCCTTGTACATTGTATCATGCTGAAATAAAAAATCATTAATTTTCATTATCTTTCAATCACACACTTAGCACCTTAGCATTCACCTCTTATTCAACCCCCATCAATAAATATATTGATGTGAGACCTTAACAACAGTGTATAAAGATGAAGTACACTATAGCTTTTAGACTTCTATTATTATTATATTTTCATTTTTATATGAAACCAATAAACCTATTAGCTTGAATGCAGGCACTTCTATTCATCACTGTTATTTTATTTTTTATTGATACATTGGACGTTTTTCACTGAGGCAAGGTGACCCGAAAAAAGAAGAAACACCTTCATCATTATTCACTCCATCACTGACTTGCCAGAGGCACCCCTACACTACAGTTAAAAAAACTGCAACATATCTTCAACCCCTCAGCATTGCATATGTGAAAATTTATTGTGAAAATTTAAGATTTCTGCATCTACTCGGAATCATGAAAAATGGTATGGTGATACCAACAGGATGTGGGTGGAATAAGACACTTATGTACAGTTCAGGATATTTATTAAAGGAAACATTTCACTATGAATGGCTTCATCAATCATTAGGACTGAAACAACCACTATTAGCGAAACATTTCTTCTAATAAATGTCCTGAACTCTATGTAAGTGTCTTTTTCTTTGCACGCTTAGTGGACTTCCAGCAAGCGTGCGTGAGCGTATTAGATAGGAGCAATGGAGACAAATGGTTTTTAGGACTTGACGTGCTGTTGGAATGTAAGCAAAGTAACATTTATGAAGGGATTCAAGAAAACTGGCAGGCCGGACTTTATTCCTGAAGATGGGAAGTACAGGGCCAGAACTCTGAAGGAGGGATGTTAATGTTGCAGTTTTATAACTGTAGTGTAAGTATGCCTTTGGCAAGACAGTGATGGAATGAGTAATGATGAAAGTTTTTCTTTTTTGGGCCACCCTGCCTTGGTAGGAAACCGCCGATGTGTTAATAATAAAAAAAAACTATTTTCTGCACCTCACATACTGATAAGAACATAAAAATAGAGGAGACTAGAAAAGGCATACTGGCTCATGCTAGGCAGGTTTTGCTCACCCATTTATACCCACTTGATTGATATTTGCCTAACTTATTTTTAAAGTCACACATACCCAGTGTGACTCACAGCTCAGGTGTTGAGCATTTGGCTTGCAATCAAAAGTACCTGGGTTCAATCTTTGGGCGAGTCAAAACATATGGGCAAGCCTTCTTATGCCCGCTTCCCAACACTATATTCATAGTGCATTGAAAATATTACATGACTCAATAATTGTGATTGCTACACAAAGTGCACAACATGTTAGTGGCTTTCTTTTGTTCTTAGCAATATTTTACTATGTGTAAACTACATTTTGTATACTGCAGAAAGAAATAAGTTTGTTTGCTTTCTTTCTTTTACTTTCAGTGTATGTGTGATAATTGTCCATGTAGCTCCACATGGTGTTTAGTACAACCCCCTATAATGTTCGGTAGTTTGTAGTGATATGTTTATTACTTTTGTTTAAAATCATGTAAGTTAAGAAATCCCATGCCCATATTTAAATTAGATTTACTGTACTATTCATTGTGCATCAGTAAAAATTTATGTTTATTATGTGACGTTCTGAACCCATTTGGGTCATTTAGCATAAGGATGGGTGGAGGCTTGGTTCTACATCCACTAATCACAAGACAGACACTCTACTAAACCCTATTCATTGGCTTGTGTATTGGTAAAGCTTCAAAAAAAATAAATACATGCATGCATGCTGTAGTATATATGCTGTATGTGCTTGTGCACACATGCATGCATGTGCATATGCGTGTTTGTGAGTGAGTATGTGAGCTTGCATATATACTATATTTAATTTTATCGCAATAAAGATACCAAAGTGTTGTGCCTGTGTTTTATTCATCAACTTATCCATATTGTACAGGTACCATCCGACTTACGACCAAGCTTGGTTCTGACCAACCGGTCATAAGTCAAAATAAACGTAAGTCGAGCCTTACTACTGAATATCAACATCACACTTTTGTAATGGTTTTATTTTATAGTTTTATTTTGGTATTTCATGTTTTACTTTACTTTTAATGCTGTTTGTACTGTATTTTATATCCCATGGTTTAGGATAAACACTGTGTACAACACAAACAGTTGTTTATTTCCCAGAAATTTCGCATAAAAAACATGATCGTAAGTCGAGTGGTCGTATGTCGAGCAGGTCATAAGTCGGATAATAGGTGTATACCATTCATTACATTAATGTGTATTACTAAAGGAAGTCAGATATAAATGAGATCCCTTCACTTATTGTTTTTTTTATTTGCCATACTTTTTTATTCTTTTCCTATTGCAAGTACAGTATTAGTACAGGTTTTACTCCTTTTTTGTGAATACATGTATATTTATAATACAATTAATCTTGCTAGTACAGTATTATATTTTCTTGTGTTCTTATCTATTTACTCTTAATTTTTATTAAATATTAATAATTACTCTTAATAATACCTGTACATATTTTTTTCTTATAGGACTCTGATTATAATAGGAATGGTTTGAAAGATGTAGGAGACTTAACCAGTATAACCATCTCGCCTGGATTTTCATTTGGAAATGCCAATGAAGATGAAGATTCCAAACCTCTTGCCACTGAAGCTGAGATTACCCATGATGCTTTTGCTTTCACGTAAGACATTTGATGACTTTTAAAGTAGCATCTAGATTGTGTGCTGTAGTACAGGACTATTGTGATTAATAAAAAGCAGAAATCTGTATGAATGATACAATAGTAATTTTTTTAATTTATCTAGTACAGGTCAGCCATCACTATTCCAGCATCATTGGGACCTGTAGGGTGCCGGATTCATGAGTTAACCGGGTTACCCAATTTACTTCCCATTTTTGGCCCATTCCATTGTTCTAGTCTACCAAACTCATAGCTATTTTGCTAGTATTCCTTCTGTAGTGCTGTTTGAATTCAGCAAGGTTTATACGTACAAGTGTTGCACTGAACATTCACCTCAGTGCAACTCTTGCAAGAACAGATCTTGCAAGGGTTCTTGCAACTGTATTTGTATGAATAAACTTATTTATTTACTTCTATTCTGTCGACTGAGTACAAGAAACCGCCCATTCACCTTTTTCAACTACCCAATAAAGTGGTCAGAAGTTGGTAATTTGGCCAATTTCACAAATTTCTAAAGATGCCAATTTCAAAATAGGGTCCAGAATAAACAATGCAGACATTCCTGGCACTAAAATAACATTTTCTCTATTAATTAGTCACGTCTCCAGGCCCCTCTTTTATTACTCTTGTTCTCCATTTTGAATTTTTATTCACGCAAAAAATAGAAGATTTACTGTTATGCGAACTACTGCATTATTGTAATAATTGTATAAATAATGTCAACCCATTCATGACTGCATATTAGACTGGCCAGTCAGACATGTATTGGCCGATGAAGTCGTTTGTTTACTCTTCAACATCGGCAAAGAATCAAACATTTCTTCTACTTTGAGCTCAATTTCAAGGTACTTTTTGTTGTGAAACCAATCAAATCTATTTCTGTAATATATCTTCCATTCTATCAAGTGAGACCAAAAAACGAGAATACAATAAAAAAAAAAACACGAAAATATGCTGCTAAAGGGCGGCTAATGGCTGAGAAGTGAACTCCGTTATTTATCAACTGATTTCTTTCATTTTTGGTGTATGTTAAGAAACATCTTTCCATCATACATTGCCCAAGTTTCAGTAAGATAGCCCAATAAACAACTGAGAGAAAAAAATATTTACCAAAAATCATAAATGGCAAGCCAAAGCAGGTACTGGAAATAAGTCATTTTGTCTGACTTTTTTGGGGTTATCCTAGATTCTCTACACATATGCTGCTATGTATGATAATCTATGTAGAGAAAATAACTTTTTTGTTTCAGTTTTATGGTGCATTACAAGTGTATATCACAATTAGCCCTGTGCTACAGGGATAGGAGGATGGTACTTGTATCCCATATCCTCTTCATGCCTCCATCGAACCACTCAGTATTATGCTAAATATTATTCATTCTGGAGTATTTACCATGTTTTTATGTTATATATATATTGTTTATTATGTCATATTAGATCAACTGTGATAGGTAAATAAGCCGTAGTGCTGATATTAGCATAATAATAAAGCATATTCCCCTGCATCACGAGACTGAGCTCATGGCAACCAACAGTGGCTTCAAAGCCACCTTATCTTTTATGGACAATGTACTGTGAATGTGCTTTACGCAGTGAAACAATTTTTTTATTCCTTGGAACCATGGCTAGGGCTGAAAGTAAGCAGGTTATAACAATAAACGGAGAAAAAGAAATTGAAATGACTTATGCAGCAAGTAGCACCACCAAACAGTAGCAGCAGCGACTCTGGAAATTTGAAATTATGCTAGCCGAAATTATTTATTTATTTATTTATTTATTTATTTATTTAATGTCTTTGCAAACAGTACATTCAAATTCAAAGTTTATTCTCTATAAAGATTACAATGTTGAATTTACAGAATTTGGTTGTTGTGTGGTTTACATGTAGTTAAATAATGATTACAGAGTGTACCACTAGAACGCCTAGCATGGCTAGGCATTTCGGGCAGACTTAGTTTAATTCTTTATTTTAAAATATTACAAATTATGAGGTAAGTTGGTATTATGGCTAAGTGACTAAATACTAGTTTGTGAGTTTAGCAATGTGAATGCTTTTGTTTTGGCACAGTACATAGTTTCAGTATTGGAGTATCATAGGATTCATTATTTTAAGATTGAGATTAATATTTCTGTTTATGGTCAAATGGGTGAGTGAGTGTAAGTGTGAACCACCAGGTGGTATTCATGTAGTTGAGATTGTGTATATACAATAGTGGGTTGCAATGCAAAGAGAGCCTCTATTATGCCTTGGCATTATGGGCCAACTTAACATTATTGGCTTACATTCTACTTAATACTAAGAAATAGTACAGTGGTCCCTCGCTTTTCGTAGTTCTCGGCAATCGTAAATTTCACCAATCATAGGGGTATTTTTGTATAAACATGGACTCGCTTTTCATAGGTTGACTCGCGAATAGTAGTTCATCTGGGACACATACACACGGTGTGAGCTGGGGCAGCGTCCCTACCCAGCCAGTCTGGCATTGTTTACCAGTGAGTGAAGGTCCCCTCAAGTGCTCCTACGAAATATTTCATAATATTCCACTCATTTTAGTGCTTGCAATTACTAAATAAGCTACCATGGCTCCAAAGAAAGCTTCTAGTGCCAAGCCTGTGGTAAAGAAGGTGAGAAATATGTACAGTGACAAAGTCTTGGGCCATTTTCGGGAAGTGTTAAAGAGACGCCAGAAACAGAGCTCTCTCCACAGTTACTTTGCGAGACAGGACTAGAGTGACTCTCAAGGTGGTCCTAGTGGCATTAAGAAACAGAGAAGAGAAGCAACCCCAGAGAAGCAATTGGTACCTGAGGTGTTGCTGGAAGGGGATTCCGCTTCCAAACTGTAAACAATCCAATCTCTCTCCTCCTCTAGTCTCCCATACACTAAGAAGAATCTCCAATAAAGGTAAGTATTATGCTGTTAATGTTTCATTCATCATTTCCCATTGTATTGTTTGTGTACTATATGTATATTTCATGTAAAAACAATTTTTGTTTTAATACTTCTGGGTGTCAGGAACGGATTAATTGTATTTACATTATTTCTTATGGGGATTCGCAAATCGTAAATTTCGTTTATAGTAACGGCTCCAGGAACGGATTAATTACGAAAAACGAGGGACCACTGTATATCATAGTTGTACAGTAGGAAAGGAATTATTTCATAGTTGTACAGTAGAATATTAATTATAAATGAATCAAAATTTGTATAATACAAGGATATACATATTTATATTCTAAAATGCTTTTGTGAAAAACAGTTATTCAATTTTCTTGTCAACAATGGATAAAAGGTTCAGTGTGATTGTTTCCGTTATGATGTGGGAGTACATAGGTGAGGAAATGTATACTGAGTAGTATATAGCATTTAGTCTAGGGTGATTAAGTGGCTTTTGAGAAGAGTCTTACATTGATTTTCAGACTGGGTTACTTTAATATCTTCTGGTAATGAATTCCATATTTTGGGGCCCTTTATGTGCATAGAATTTTTACACAGTGTGATATGGACACGAGGTATATCAAAAAGAGATCTGTGTCTTGTGTTGTGGTCATGTGTCCTGATTAGGTTGGTAAGGAAAAGTTTGAGTGGGGGGTTTATATTTGCGTGTATTGTTCTGTGTATGTAGTAGGCACATGAATAAGTATGGATGTTCTTATTGGTAAGCAGATTCAGACTTTTGAAAACTGGTGAAGTATGCTGGCGGGAGTGGGAATTTGTTATCATTCTTGCTGTTGCCTTTTGCTGGGTTATTAGGGGTTTTAAGTGATTGGATGTTGTTGATCCCCATGCACAAATTCCATATGTAAGATAAGGGTATATGAGTGAATGGTACAGTGCAAGGAGAGCTGATTGTGGAACGTAGTACCTTATCTTTGATAGTATGCCTACAGTCTTGGAGATTTTCTTCGTGATTTGTTGTATGTGTGTCCAGAACTTAAGGCTACTGTCAAGGTGGATACCTAGGAATTTTCCCTCTGTGAGTCTTGTGACTGATGATCCATTTAGCGTAATGTTAATTGGATCATTTGCAGCTTTGTTTCCAAATTGAATGAAATAGGTTTTATCAGTGTTCAAGGTAAGTTTGTTAGTCATCATCCAGGCAGATATTTTCTGTAATTCAGCATTGACTGTGTTTGCTAGTATGACTGCGTTTGGGTGGGAAAATACATGTGTAGTGTCATCTGCAAATAATATGGGTTTGAGTAGCTATGATGCATTCGGTAGATCATTGATGTAGATAAGAAAGAGGAGTGGTCCAAGGATGCTTCCTTGTGGGACTCCTACTGTGATTGGTTGGGTGGAGGAGTTTGCATCATTTACATACACATATTGAGTTCTGTTACTAAGGTATGACTTGAGGTAATTGAGGGAGTGGCCTCTGATACCATAGTGCGTTAATTTAGAGTACAGTAGTTCATGGTCGACTGTATCGAAAGCTTTACATAAATCAATGAAAATGCCCAGCGGGACTTCTTTCTTTTCAAGTGCGGTATATATTAGTTCTAGCATGTGTATGATAGCGTCATTTATGCTTTTATTATTTCTGAATTAAAACTGAGAAGGGTTTAATATGTTGTGTGAAACGAGGTAGGAATAGATCCGTCTATGAATTAATTTTTCAAAGATTTTAGAGAGCAGTGGTAAGTTAGATATTGGTCTATAGTTATTCAAGTCAGCTTGGTCACCTCCTTTATGGATCGGAGTGACCCTCGCTATTTTGAGGATTGTTGAGAAGGTAGATGATTCAATGGATTTGTTAAAGAGCATTGCAATAATTGGTGACAATACTTGAGAAGCTTTTTTGTACATAAAAGCAGGCAAGTTGTTTATGTCTCCTGCCTTGTTTTTAAGGGTGTTTATGATGAGCATAACTTCAGTGGGGTTGGTTGGAGCTAGGAATAGCATCTTTGGGTAGGTTCCTATGAGGTAGTCTGATGGACGGGCATTTGTGCTTGGTATTTTGTTTGCTAGATTTTTTCCTATGGTGGAGAAGAAAACATT